TCTCTCATGCTCTCGATGACTTTAATATAATACTTATATATCTCAACTGTACAATTGTGCATTACTGAACCCGTAAATAGTACTAGCGGTGGGGGCACCCCCACCTCCCCAACGCCATTTTCATTTAATACTACCCGTGGGGATCCTGTTACAACCCCAAGTGTCTGATGAGGGGGTTGGGGCCCAGCAAGGCCTGGGCATGGAGAGGGTGGGGGTGGGGCTGCTCAGTGCTGCAGATTTGACCTGTCATCGCCAGGGTGCCTGGCTGGCCCAAGGTGGCAGCTGGTCATAGCTCCTGGGAATGGGCATGAACCAGAGCCTGGCTGAGGTCACTAACCTTGGACACCCTGCTGTCCACTTGGCTGTATAGTGACCTGCCTAGGCCCCTGGGGAACAGATGGCTCCAGCTGGCTTCTGGTCACTCCCACCTGGCACTGCCCTCTGCTGTGGGTACTATGAAGGAACCCGATTCTGCGACATCTGGCCTTAGGGCTGCAATTTGCACTAACCTTGTGTGAGCCCTGCTGGCGGAGGTGGGCAGTGGGTGCTGAGGGCTGCCATGTGGGGTACAGGTCCGTGTGGCTGCAGTGTCCCCTGCCTCACTGAGGGGTGCTCTGGGATGGGGTCATAGGGCTGTCTGCCCCATGGAGGCTACCTGGCAGGGGGGAGAAGGGAGGTGAAGACAGCAGAGGCGAGAGGCTGTCGTGGGCAGCAGGCCCAGCCCTGGTCCCTGGCAGGGAGCCTGCTGCACCCAGTCCTGGGGGTGAGACTGGCCAGAGTCTGGCAGACACAGGGCAGGTTGGCTGACAGTGAAGGGGCAGCTGCATAGGATGAGTGTGGGGGGGTGCCAAACAGAGAGGGCTGTGAGTGTGGCTGCATCGTCAGCCCCTCACATGGGCCCCCTACCCCGTCCCAAGGTGGGTGCATGGTCTGGGAAGTGGGAGGGCTGGCTGGGGGGTGGTCTCAGGGGCCTAAGGCTCTGGAGTGGGGTAGGCTGGGCCTTGTGCACCTACCCCCACCCTCTGCAGGCTGTGTCAGCAGGTCCAGGGGAGCCCCACCTGCAGGCGGGACCACTCAAGAGTCTCATCTGAAGAAACAGAGGCAGGGGGAGGGGTGCCTTTTTGGTCCAGGCCCCCAGTAACACCTGTAGAGCTAGGCTGGACTCCCAGGCGATGGATCGGCCCTGAACTCAGATCCCACAGGGAACCAGGAACACCAGGGCTCCAGCTGGCTGGGGGTGCTGACCCAGAGCTCCCAGCTGGGGCCCCTGGCTGCCCAAGAACCCCAGGGCCTTGGGCTGGAGTCAGGTGGGTGGAGGCTCTGAGCGCCAGGTGTCCCGTGGGCAGGCAGTGATCCGGCCTGGGGCAGAGCCCTCTGCCGCACCTCCTCCAGAGATGGGCAGCTCCCCGCCCCTGGGGGCCCCGGAGCCTGTCACGGTTGGCGAATGGCCAGCCTTGTGGTGCCCTCACACGGGGTCTCCATGCTCCACGTAGACTGAGGGTGGTGGTGGCGGTGGCGGGTGTGGGAACAGGAGGAGGAGGGGCGGAGCCGCTGGCTTGAACCGGTGCCAGGAACTAATTCACTCTCTCCCCCCTCCGGTGTGGAAGCCAGTCCATTTCTTTGAAAAGCGCATCTGCTCTCTTATTGTTTATTTTCGGGCAATTTTCGAGGCCGCCGCTGATACCCACCTCAGCTACCGCCGGGGTCACCTCTCACCCCGGGAAGGTCAGCGGCTCATTTAAAGTTTCATCATTCTTCCTATCGGCACGCAAATACCATTTCATCTGCCGCAGCCACGGCCACCGGGGCCTGTCATCTCCTTCCTGGCCTGGAAATTGACATCCAGGCCGTCACCCTCGCGGGGGCTCGCCAACCCTCTCCCCCCCACCCCCCGCCGCCCAGGCCACCTAAAAAGACTTCCATTTAGCAGCGATTCAGGAGCAGGGTGGGAGGGTGGGCTGTCTCAGCCTCGGCTGAGACTCAGGTGTCTCCTAAGATGGACTTATCCAGTCACACCCCTCCCCACCGCTGCAGCTCAGCCCCGCCCCCAGGGATGGCAGCCCACTGACCATCCCATCCCATTGCTGGTCTCTGTAGCCCGAGGCTGCACCTTGACCCTCCCTGTGCCCTGGTGGCCTTCCTGGGTGGGTGGCCACTGTGCCACCAAAGGGACCCAGGAGGGGCCTGAGGTCGCATGCAGGGGCCAGAGCTGGAGGCAACCCCCCTCAACGGGTGTTTGGCTGAACGCCCAGCTTGGACCCCCACTAGGGGGAAGGGCTGGGCCTAGAACAGTGTGTGTCCGAGTCTGGGGGCTTGGGAGCCCCACGCTCTACACCAGGGGTGGTTGTTGTGAGGTGCCGCCTAGTGAGTTCCGACCCACAGCGACTGCAGGCCCAATAGAATGAACCACGGCCCGGTCCGGCACCATCTTCACGATTGTCCTGTGTTGGAGCCCGCTGGTGCAGCCCCAGTGTCCACCTGGCTCATCGAGGGCCGGCTCTTTCTCGCTGCCCCTCCGCTGCACCAAGCACGACGTCCTTCTCCAGGGACCGCTGTTTCCCAATCACATGTCCCAAGTTTAAGAGACCACGTCCGCCGTCCCTGCCTCTAAGGAGCTTTCTGGCTGGGCTGCTTCCACGCAGGTCTGTGGCTTCTTTGGCGAGCCCACATCACGCTGCATCTTCTCCACCGGCTCCGTAGTTCAAGTGCATCTCCTTCCAACTCCCTTACTCGGTGACCAACTTCCCCGTGCCGACAAGGCCCTTGAGCCTTCATTCATGGTTTCAGGGTTGGGGCACCC